CACACACACACACACACACACACACACACACACACACACGTAACATTATTTTAACTGTGTAAATGTGTATTACTTTATTTCTTCAGTCTTTTTTAATGATGCAGAGATGTGTTTCATTTGTTTGATTATGTAAAATTAAACTGGGGTCAGGAGGCTGTGTCTGCATCTTACTGACAGGAAGTTGTAGGGAGGAACTAAATGTAGCCAGGGTTTTTAGTGGGGACAAGAATAGAAGGGTTTTTAGACACGAGAAAGAATAGAAGTTTAGCTACTACTATTCAACCTCTCTGAGCTAGCAGGATTTCACCTCAACCTTTGAATCCTGAGTTCCATAGAAGGGGAGAGATTTAGATAAAGTTTCCTTTAGCAGTCATGTTAGAGCCGGTGCCTGAGCGAACAGAATTCCCACCTGGCTGTGGCCCATGTGGCTGAACTGCTTCTGATAGCTTCAGAGTTGTAATTGCTGATTGGTACAGAAGTTGGTTAAGGTGTAACCACTGAAAGCAAAACAAAGAACACGCACACGAGTGCGCACGCGCGCACACCCCCCCCCAACACACACACCTTATAGCCTTGTATAAGTATGGATTTTGGTCCCCATCAACAGAAGATTGCCAATCATAGATCTTTAGGAATGATGCAATAACAATAATGATTAAAAATTGTGAGAATTGGCAAATATGACAAGGACATGAAATGATCATTGTTTAGGGGAAGATTGCACTAATAAATTTGTTCAACTCAGGGTTATAACGACCTTCGATTTCAAGACACAATAGGTGAAAAACATGAGTGTATGAAAATGAGATGTCAGTATATATTTAAGCCAAAGAATAAAAATGTAGTGGGAAAGTGAATATTAAAAACTAAAGCAAATATGTTTATTTATGCTTTTTTAATGAGGGTGCATAATTGTATGCCACAATTCATTTAATGGAAATGCTAGATAAAATTTATACTTAGATGTGCCAACAATCTTCAAAACACTTTTATATGATAAAAATACCTTTACACTATAAATCAGTAATTTTAAATATAAAGAACATGCTTGCCTGGTGAATATTTTGAAGTTGAGCATCCCCATTATTGACACAACAACAGCACAGTCCTATGATGGACATGTTTTTATTGACCTTGTGATGTGACTGTCACTAAGCCCCCAAATGTGAATCTCTTTTTCTTTCCTCTCTTTTTTTCTATTCAGACAGAAACTAATTTGTCAGCATGCCAGCTTTAACTAGCTGAGATGAAGCTAAGCTAATTTAATAGGAACTGTTCAATAGCTTCGACCGACCTGACACTGTCATTTAAAGTGCCTCTCTGCCCCACTGTCTTCCATTATTCCCAATTCTTTCTTCGGAATGGTTGAACACCAAGTCAAATAATATGCTTAGCAGTCAATAGGCCTGACTTTTCTCTCAAGGACATTCTTGTGGTGCCAGAAACTGTCAAGTGGAAAAACATGTACTGTGAAGGTGAGAGGACACTAATTAAATATACATAGCTTTAGCCAAAGAAGCATGAGGCACAGCTTGCTGAATGAAAAGCTCTTCTGCCTCTTCAACGAGGTCACAGCTATTGACTAGCATAAGTTCTTAAATTGCAGCTTCTCTTAAGTAGGATGTAACATTCCTGTATTTGCACAAGGTCTAAGCCATCCCCAGGAATGTTGCATAAGAACAAGTATAATCATTCTGGTTCAATTAGGCATGCTTCATCCTTAGGTCATTGAACCTCTCTATACCCTTAGGTACATGTACTGCTTTTTACATCTTAAGGGTTACTCTGATCTGTGCAGGGCATGCTGTATAAGAAAGATATAAACTTTGCTTTGGTAAAATCGGGAGGGGGAATTTTGCAATGATGCTTTGATTTCAAGCAAAGCTCCTTTTGAAACCCTTAATAACCCTTAACAAGGTTCACCAACATTATGTGATTGCTTCACTTTCCTTATGTTTAGCATGCCAATGGTAATAATTTCCCTAACATCTTGGGATAAATTCAATAAGAGCAAGGGTTAATATATTTAAAATGTGTATGTGCTTCAAAGCTGTCATTAAATGTTTCATTTTAAGAATCAGAACTTAGAGAGAGAACATTCCAGATGCTCATTCCTTTTATTATTTAAATCGCATTGTTACTGATTGCCTAAACACTTCAATTTTGATGTAAATAGCATGTAACATTGGTTTGATCTTTTTAAATACATCACAAGGCCAGTGTGTTTGGTTTTGTTTTCAAACTAAGCTGA